TCAGTAGGAATGAATTCACAGAGCATCTCAATTTACTGCAGTACAGAGAAACATGGGATGTGGCCCCAGAAGTCTTAGCACCATACATGAGCGAATGCAATGCCAGTGTGCATACAGCAGTTGTAGTGTTAGTTCACAGTGTGGCCTCTCTCACTAACGCGAGGCTAACTTTAGACATACCCTCAGGGAGCGAGTGTGGGATACTCACAAGCTCTAGGGGAGTAGCAGAGAGAGGCCTACTTCTGTCCAGTGCTCTCTTTATGGGCAATACTCCACCAGCCAATCCGAACTCGGAGGTGCTCGGACTGATCTATGGCAGCCTCGCTAATGAGGGAGGGCTGCCATTGGCAGGCCTGTCCCCCATGTCACGTCACCAGGTGGGTTGCCTTGTGCCTGCTTTATTCTTGTTCTGAAACGTTAGTGGGGCATGTAGTGCTTAGTTTAAAGCACTCGAGGTGCTGTCCAACAGAGAGGTGCCCAGGGGCATTCCCTAAACACTCATCCGTCGTCTTAGATAAGTATGTGACATATCTTCAATATTGGCAATATTCCCTACGGCACTGCAAATCCTGATGTCATATGTCGGCCTTCGGTAACAGCACAATCGGCAAGGGAGCTACTCTACTTTTAGGTAATGCTCGTTTAACTAACTACCCTGTGATACGTTTGGCCTAAAATGTCCCGAGTGGTTAGTGAGTATGGGTGCCTCTATTTTTTGGGTGCCCAACTTTAAGTACCTTTTTTTCAAAGGACCTGTGTTCATCATGTTTTGAAAATTGGGTCCCTTTAAGGATAAGTCAGGTGCAGCACCCAAAATCATTTTGAACATGTATTCCTTTTTCTTCAAGCTATGTGACTTCAGCTCTTCTCTCGGTCGATCGTTTGTGCTATTGATGCACGCCACTGAAGTATCTTTGACAAACATAACTTTTATGTCAGCCCTACCGAGGGCTTTATCAAGAGTAAAATGAGGGTGGGCCATTCTTGGTACAGTTTTAGAAAACTAGATAAGGTACAAATTACATTAGCTCTGCCAGAGCTTAACACTGAGGCCTTGGCTACACTTACCCGCTAGTTCGGCGGCTGGCAATCGAACTTCTGGGTTCGACTTATCGCGTCTAGTCTGGACGCGATAAGTCGAACCAGGAAGTGCTCACCGTCGACTGCGGTACTCCAGCTCGGCGAGAGGAGTACCGCGGAGTCGACGGGGGAGCCTGCCTGCCGAGTGTGGACCAAGGTAAGTTCGAACTAAGGTACTTCGAACTTCAGCTACGTTATTCACGTAGCTGAAGTTGCGTACCTTAGTTCGAATTAGGGGGGTAGTGTAGACCTGGCCTGAGTTTACCTTCACTGCTCCTGAATTTTACTGGAAATCATTATGACATAACACTGACTTGACTAATACATTCGTTTCCTTACCTTGGAGGTATATATTAAAAAAATGGAAAGTTTGGCAATGATTTTATTTATATATAATATAAATTGCATAGCTGTAGCTCTTGTCAGTCTGGAATCACTGTCTGCAATGCATCGTTTTCCAGTGGAGAAAATAAAGCTCAGCAAAGCGCCTTTTGAAAAATGAGATTGCTTGAGAGGGGAAGGCGTTAAGAAAAAATATAGTGTTTAAATCATCAGTGAAATAAAAAGCCAGTCACCTGGAAAACATATAGCCAGGAGTGGGCAACCAAACTTATCAGGTCTCCTGATTTGAAAATATACAACATCAGAATCTTGCCCTGCCTTGCATTGATGTATTGGTGTGGGTGGGAGGCATTTAGCGCACCTTTGTGCATGATACAAATAAACATAATAGTCTGAAGAGAGAGAGTCTCCCCTATTGCAGAAGCTGGGCACAATTCAAAACTAGAGCCCCTCTTTTAGGTGCTGGAACTGAGGGTGTGGGGAGATGGGGGGTGGGGAGTGCTGCTGCTCCCCCTGGCTTGAAGTGGTTTCCATCATATACAGGGTTTACAGTTTGGATCAATGGCTCTGGGCACCCCCCCACTATACAAATTGTTCTGGAAGCTCTGGTCCCTTTGGATGCAAAATGGAAAGCCTGCCAATGCACCCACTACTACTCCGTGGCACCAGAACGTCAGGCAGACTTTCCCACCTCCCCGGTCATGTACAGTAGACAGCTATCTACGCTCAGACTGATGCTCACGAGCCATCCTTCTTTGCACTTACACTCTGCTCCTCTATCTAAGACCACTGTGTATGTGTGAAGTAAACCAATCTGGTGGCCATATTTGTGACATTCTATACCTGGGGGGAGCGTCCTGGAACCCCCATATTCCTCATTTTTATATAATCGTGATCTTACATATAAAGCATGCCTTGTGAGGTATCAGGGGAAAGGTCATGATCTGCTGAAAGTCATTTCTCTATCCATATATGTATCTCATTAATGCATATGAAGTTGTGAGAATTGTGTTGTATGGTTGTCACTAAAACATGCTGCAAGTTGGGGAATCAGCCAGATATTAGCCCCCTAGAGGCAACAGCAAGGAAAGTAAACAACACCCGGGCAGGATATCAATCAGCCCATCAACAACCATTGTCCAGCAAGGGAGCTACAATGCAATGACTCACCTGCATGAGGCCACACCAGAGGAATTGCTCAACCTTATCTGGAGACTTAGCAATGCCCCCCAGACATGCCTGGACTTGTGTTTTCCAAGCACGTGGACTGGGGGTATAAAACAGACACAGAGGACACATACTGGGCCCTTCTCCTGTCCCCACCTATGCTGCAAGCAACTAAGACACTGAGAAGAAGACAAGACTATAGCAGAGGAGATTGGCCCAGGTTTAAGGAACAAACCTGTATATTAAGGATTGCAATATCCAGAGGGGTGAGAAAAACTGCTTAATCTAGATGTTGCCCAGTCTAATAGGGTTGAGAGTTTAGACTGCATGGTTATATTTTATTTTATTTTGGTAACTAACTCTGACTTTTTGCCTAACACTTAATATCACTTAAATTTTATCTTTGGTCGTCAATACATTTGTTTAACTGTTTATCTTTACCAGAGAGTTTGCCTAAAGTGTTTGGTAATCTGGTCAGGTTTGCAAAGGCTGGTGTAGGCCCACTTTCCATTGATGAAGTGGTGAACCAATTAATGAGTCTGCACTGCTCGTCTTGAACAGTGCCAGACAGTATATTCCTGAGGTACAGTGCTGGAAGCTGGGGGGATTTGGTTCTGGTGCCTTTCTCTGGGTGATTCATGAGTGACTCTGGGAGCATTCATGCAATCTAGCTGGGTGTGGGGCTCCAT